GACTCTGGTGCTCTTTGCTTGGGTGATCATGCAGCTGCTTACGAGTATGTATTCTGTATTTACAGTCTTGCATGTCATTATTTTTGTTTCCACTTCATTTCATTTGGAGTATTTAAGAATTGCATATTTAGTATATTTTTATTTGCTACTGTGTTTCCCCTTTAACCAAAATAGTACAGTTATTCAATCTGCAGTCATTGTAGTGGTTTATACATTTACTTGGCAAGTGAATGGTTGCTGGTTCAGCTAAAGACCATTAATATTTTTTATCAGAGTACCATTTGCACTTGTTTGTCTATTCGAGAGGTCTTTGTACTTCCATCTTTTAGGAACAGTCTTATCTACTACCTTAGTACATATCTACTATTATATGAAGATTTGTCTGTATGAGTTTTGCAGATGTTCTGTTATTTTATATTTTATTATTCAACTGAACTGAGGGTACATCTAAAGAAACCAAAAGAATAAGTCAGATCATGTTCCATCCTTTCTCTTTACAGAGCCATTTGTTCTCACCCTGGTCACAACGGATGCCTTTAAAGCCGATGCTGCAGTAGCAGGTTCCGGTCACGTAGTCACAGGTGGCATTGTTCATACACTCACACAGCTGCTGGCAGCCGTAGCCAAATGTCCCTGCGGGACACTCTGGACACAGGAACAGGGATTTAAGACATCTTGAACTTTAACACGTGAATGTGCAACTCTCCTGCATGTAAGAACCACTAAACACACTCACTGAGCTCACAGCTGTGTCCTATAAAGCCTGTCCTGCAGGAGCACTGTCCCGTGATGTGGTCACAGTCTGCTCCATTCTGACAGCGACACACCTCAGCACAGTGAGAGCCGTAGAAACCTGCAGGACAGCCTGAAGGGAAACAACCACTGGTTTAAAAAAAATCTATATTATGCTTTACATGTGGACAAGAATTTTCAGTAGCAGCAGCAATTTCACTCTGTCACTCTGAACCCATCTCTGTGCAGAGACATGATCAAAAACTTGAAATGTCTT